GAAACCAAGAGAAGGTGTAACTCTATGTGTTTGTGTGCAATAGTAAGACTAAAACACACACTTATGCACTAAAGAGAGAGATATAGAGATAGAATAGCTACAACTATGAACTAACCCTAACTCAGAGCTCCCTCGGTATTTTTTTTGTGTAACCCTAATGGAAGGAGAAGAGGCTCCCTCTTATAGAGCTCACTCTTGCAAAGCTTCTCAAGTAAGCTAGTCAAGAGGGAGATCCCTCTATACACCTGTATGGAGGGGAGCAAAGTGGGTGCCAGCTATCACAGCTGGCACAAAATATCTGCCAAAAGCAAATGCACAGTGGTCAGTCAGCCAAAAATGTAATTTGACCAAAATAGATGGCCGACCGACCATCCAGAGTGCCAACCGACCAAATATTTGGCCAATGGAGACAAAACCCAGTCGGTGGCCTCAAGCCATGGCCGGTGATGTGTGGGAATGGCCAACAAGCCATTCCCTACCCCTCAAAGGCAAAGCACAAGTGTTTGGTGCAAAACCAAACACAAAACAGTCGAGTCGAGAGATCTTGAGGCAGGGCGCGTGGCCGAGACCTCCGGGAACTCAAGAAGAACACAAACATGGATGATCACCGAGTGTTCAAACGGTGACGTCCAAGTCTTGAGGACGGTCAAAAATGAGATGTCTACAGCAGGGTGCGGAAAAAGGCGAGCCCACACTGTGGCTGTTTTAAACACATCCCAACCTTCAATTCATACATATCCAAGGTCGAAAATCCCTCAACTCTGTCTCTAAGCTTCCTTTCTCTCCAGATTTCCTCTCCTCTCGCAAAACCCATCAACCCACACGAAATTTTTCCTCAAACCCCTTTCAATCCTCTACATTTTGAACCAAAAAAACTTGATTTAGCTAAGGTTTTGGGTTTGCCCTTGGTTTTCCTTAGATTCTCACACCTTTACCCACATTTTCCTTCCTCTTCCTTTGATTTCTTTTCTTCTCTCTTTGTTTTCTCACTCCTAAGGTTTAGCCCTTTAGGGGGGGGGGGGTTTGGATTTTCACTCAAACTCACTCACTCGCTCACTTTTTCTTTATTTTTTCATTTTCTCATTTCCTCGCTATGGCTAGTGATGAGGTTCCCATTCCTAACCCAACTGTGGGTATTGGCGCCGTCGTAGGTACGGATATCGAGGCTGAGGACATTCTCGAGCCCGCACTTCTTCCTCTTGCCAACAGGCCATTTGACGCAATCACCTACCAACCACATACACACGCTCTGTCCCCAGGTGGTATCTTGAGATTTGAGGGCCTCATCCTAGGGATAGATGAGGACATCTTGCTGCAAGAGCCCACAGAGCACTTGTCTACCAATGCCTCTACGGTAAGCAATCTTTCCTTTGTTTTTGCACATATGTTGAATCTCATAAGCAAACTACTCGTCAATGCTATATATGTACTAATAAAATTCCCCATTTGCAGGTGATAACCAGGAGAATTGGTGGTTACAGGTCTATATCCAACCCTCGGCATTTGTATGAGAGTCTTCCCATGGAGGTCTACACACGGGTCGATGCTACCAGCTTTGGGCCTTTCTGTTTAGGGCTCATACAGATGAGGGCTGAACCACTACTCTACGGGGCCTTAGTAGAGAGATGGTGGGACACCATTGACTCATTCCACTTCTCATAGATCGGGGAGCTGACCCTGACTCCATATGACTTCTCGATGCTTACTGGAATGTGGGTCAGGGTTAGTGGCCCGATCCCATGTGATCCTGATATGACGCAGTGGAGAGCAGCGCGACGCCAACTCCTCGGGGCGATCCTAGACACCACCAGTGACGGGATGGTGAGGTACAGTTGGTTCTTTAATCACTTCTCCGATTTTCAGCCAGCTACTGTAGATGAGGTCACCCAGTACACCCGTGGCTTCCTTATGTGTCTCCTCGGTACTACCCTATTTGCGAACAAGGAAAATATCGTGGGGCTATATTTCTTAGGAGCACTAGTGCACCTACCACAGGTGGTAGAGTATGACTGGGGTGGCGTCGACTTAGCCACCCTGTACTGCTACATGAGCTCTATATCCTATCGCAAGGCGGATTCACTCGGCGGCTACTAGAGGGTTTGGGAAGTACACCACATACTTGTTTTTTTGTTCAACTTTGCATTTCATTTTCTATTCATCTGCTTATTTACTTTATCCATGTCTTTCTGCTTACAGCTATGGGTTTACACGTATTTCACCTCGCTGGCTCCAGTCCCAGTGAGGCCAACTAAGTTGTCAGTACCCCGCTCCCGGTACTATAACTCCCGATTTGAGCGACGCCGCCGCGTGGACTGAGACTTCCCTTACTTTTGTTGTTTCTTTGACACGATCACTGCGGATCAGGTAACAAAATAATAACCTTTAACTTTTACATACTGTGTCACTACAGGAAAATCAAGTTTTAGCAGCGTTTTTTATTGTATTGGCTTGAAAAATGCTGCTATAGATGGGTTATTGTAGCGGTTATTGACCACAACTAAAAATAAAATTTTTAGTAACATTTTTTTCCTAAGGCGCTGCCATATATTTTTTTATAGTGACGGTTTGATCTCAAACGTTACAAAAAGCCAAACGAAATGAAGGGCCGCCAAATAAAATTTTGATTTGGCACGAAATCAGAATTTTTCTTTAAATTTTTTTAAACATATCAGAATTTCAGTCAAAAAAAAAAAAAACAAAAACCGTTTAACTCCTTCTCCTTGATTACAATTTGTGCCCTAGTCTATCAACACTTCTTTTGCTAAGTATCAGAGCCTTCATTCATCCTCCACTACGGCGTGTTGAGGACGTATCAGAGCCTTCTTTTGATTTCAAGGTTAGTCTACTCTCTCTATTTCTCTTTCTCTATCCCCCTCTTTCTTCTGTCCCTCGATTTCTCTCTACCCCTCTCTCTTTCTTCTATTGTCTCAGTTTTTCTTTCTCTCTCACTGTCTTCGGACAAGTTTAGGTCCATGGAATTCATTGTTAAAATCTCCAAAACTTCTGTACTTTGAAGGATTTCATGAACACTTTGAATGATTTTGATTTGGGAAAATAATTTAGAAAATAGATTGATTAACATGTTTTGCATTCTGATTATGATATTCACACACACACACATATTTGATTATCTATGATATTCATATTTTAACCAATGTAATTAGTGAAGTGAATGGATTGTTGTTGATACTACACAGTAAAATCTCATGCTTGAGGAATTATTATGTATGCTAGATATTTGATAAAATGCCACAATGGAGTAATAGTGCCTACATTTTTGTTTACTTTTGCTCTGTTTGTTCTATTATTTTATGTTATTTTTATTTTTTTTCCTTTTGAGAAAATTGTTGTCAATGAAATTAATGCACAGTTTGTAATGTTTTGTTCGCTTAATAATGTGATTAGAGAAAATTGTTGCCTCTTTTTATTGTCATTGCATTTATGAAAGTAAAATAAGAAGAAAAGGATAATGGAACCATACACATGTTCAGAGTCCCCATTTTAACTAAATATGGGTAATGAACAAGTTCAAAGCCCATACCTTCAGAATCTTACACAAAAAAATAATAATCCGAAGGCCTCCCCACTTGTTTGCACAAAACAGAAAGTATATAGACATGGGATCAACCTAAATAGCACCAGCCAAAGCACTGTGACTAGCCTCCCAATAACTAATATTCCCATAAAATTTTATTAACAAATGGCACCAGGAGTGCAAATTTACAGCTAACTTTTTTCCCGTATATATTATTTGTAGCAAATTTATATTTCAGCATATTTGGTCCACAAATAACACCAGGATGAAACTACTTTGTTTAAAAAAAAAAACCATATTTGCTAAAACAAACTCATTAAAAAATTCACAAACTCAATTGGTTCTACAATAAAATAAAATCAGAATCTAATCAAATCAACCCCTTATAACCCCCCTTTTTTTTTTTAAAGAAATTGAGCATCAGCCTTTCCTAAACACAATTTCGTCTTCTATTTTAATTGCATAACTTAGTCTATGAACTTTGGTGCTTACTATCACTATATTCACTAGATAATGTATGTTAAACGACAGTTTGAGAAACAATTTGGTTTTTCAAAAGTATTGTGTGACCTCTAAAGAACCCTGTTTTTCATCCCCCTTATTCAACAATTCTCCTAAAAAGATAATATATTCACCACTTCAAGAGGAACATTGAAGATTTTCCAGCACTCCACTAGATGGCTAAACCTCATGCTCATCATGCTTGGAGCATTGTCTTTGGTAGATAGAAGAAAACAGCCAAGCAGCAAACCAATATGGGTAACAGCAATAGGTAATTGGCATCATGGCATATGTGACACCACTCAAAAAGGTAATGATCCCCTACACAGCCCGTAGGGATAGGCATGGAAACAACTAATAACACCCATATGTAATGTGTACATTACCAAACAGATAGGAGTGTATAAATAATATACAGAACACTATTTCAAATAAGTCTCACAATATAGGGGCTGCATCACTCAACCCACAATATATGCACCACTCAACACTGAAAACAGTGTAGAGGCCTGAGGTAGAGCCCTGGTATAATAAGACCTGCAGCAAACCTCAATCATTTTGATAGCTTGATCCCTCAACCCACAGTAGGATATAACTCTCTGAAATGATAGTAGAATAATGAGATTAAAGCAACCTAAAATAGCAAATAATTTAGAGGCTCCATCACTCAACCCACACTCAAAGAATCTAGGTAGCAACCTTGCAGTATTGACACCTTTACATGACATTAATCCCCATAAATCAAGTTTGAGCGATGACATTAGGCGGCTCTTGTAAAATATTGGTTTGACTTTGTAAATCATTTTGCCCTCAACTTTTTTCTTTGAATTTACAATGGTATTAAGAATATCATATGCCTACCTCATGTTTACCATTTTTTGTCTAAATGTTTCAGGGGATCTGTGTATAAACATATTTATGCTCTTATTTCTTGTTAGTTGAGTAAAAAATAAATCAAAGAGCCATGCAAAAGGATCATGACAGTGCCACAGCAGTGCCCACTGGACGGCTTCGGCACCGTAGGCGCTCAAATGAGGTTGGTAGCTTAGTTTTACCATTTATTTATTGTAGCAATCTCTTATAGAGTGCTGATAAAAAATAAATAAAAATTAAAAAAGCAATCTCTTGTAGAGAACTGTAGTTGTCCCTGTTGGTTGCAAATGTTTTTTGAGGAATGCTAGAGACCCATAATTTACCTCAAAGACATGGCAAGGGAGTTGGGCTTTATATGGTTTAGTTTGTGACAAATGAAAAGTTGATGTGTAACCTGCCATGTTATTGTGGGTAAATTAGGGGATGCTTTTTAGGGGTCTCAATTGTTTTCCATATTTTTCAACTCTTAAATATTATTATTGGTTAAACTTATGAAACTTGATCAATTGTACTCATTGAGGAAAAAACTAGCATCTATCTTATTGTTGGGGCTCAAGGCCTCTTGAAACCATCACTATTGTTTTTTGGAATATGACATAGTTGGAATTAGTTGTTTTTTAGGAACTTTTTAATAGTTACCCACTACAATAAGAAAATGGATAAAATCTTGAAAGGAGTGTATGGCTTCTTCTGAATGTCAGGTTTAATGTTTTTTTCCTTTTTTTTTTTTTCCTTTTGGCTGTCAGGTTACTCCTGAGGTTGGCAAAGAAAATGGAAGCCATTTACTTCTTATTGATCAAAACAAATACAGATCAATGTTGACTCGCACATATTCATCTATTTGGATGATTGGGGGCTTTACATTCATAATCTACATGGGCCATCTCTATATTTGGGCCATGGTCGTGGTTATCCAAATTTTTATGATAAAAGAGTTGTTCAATCTACTCAGGAAAGGACACGAAGAAAGGGACCTCCCAGGATTTAGGTTGTTGAATTGGTATGTTAAACCAGATTCTTGTCAATGTTCAACTGTCAACTGAAGTGTGGTGTTTATCTAGGAGAGATATTCTTGGAGAAAGCTCATTAGTTAACTGAATGACAACTAATGAGCTTTTTCAATTTATTTAAATTCTAAGTGAACCAAATTTAGACACAACTGTATAATTTGTAACAAACATGTTGTATCTTTCAACGGCCAGCTTGTCATTCTCTGCCCTATTTTTGGGTTTCACTAACATCCAAAATTTCTGTCAATGATCTCCAAGTGAGTTTGATTGCTATATATGACAAATTATTTCTGTTTGCTTTTAATTTCAATAGGCATTTTTTCTTCACTGCTATGTTGTTTGTATATGGCCGCATTATCAACCAACGGCTTGCCAACACTATTACTTATGAGAAATTCTTCTATCATCTTGTGAGCGGCTTTATCAAGTATCACATGGTTACCTGTTATTTCTTGTATGTTGCAGGTGAGTTTTATATCATTATGCATTTTCCTGCAAAAGGTTTGGGGAATCTTACAATTAAGATGCCTCTTGTAGATCTGTATCACACTTTAAAACGCTAACATGGACACTAGTACGAACACAGACAACATCGATTTTCAAAAAAATTAGAATACTGACATGGCATGGATACTAGAAAAAATATTTCATATATTTTTATTTGCTATGCATATGAATATAAATTTAGGGAACAGAGATGAGAGACATTGATGTATATGTGGGTGTATTTTTGTTTTTCCTACTCTCTCCTTATTTTTTTCTATATATATATATTTTTTTATCCAAAATCTGCCTTCTAAAATTATCACTGTAAAGGTCTCTTGAGACACATCTACAGACAGTGTGCATGTTGTCATCCTGTCACATTTTACATGCTATTCAAAGTGGGCTCAATATCTATGGCGTCTCATAAAAAAATGGAACTTCTTTACACTATCAAATTGGTATATATAGATGTATGGCCCATTTGAATACTATTCCACTATCCATTGTGAATGTATATTAAAATGAAGATTCTCCTCAGAAGTCTTTTCTCTTCCACTCAACATGTGTTGTGCTGGCTTCTTTTTTGCCCTTCACCAGTCAACAAGCTTTTGTTTCAATTGCATTGTATTCATGTAGTTATTGTTTTCAATTCAAGTACTATGCTTTACTTTATGTTTTTATATGATTTCCATGGACTATCTTATGTCCTCAAAACATCCATTTCTTAACCTTATCCAATATTTTTTTCCTGTTGAGAGCCTCTTCCTTTGCTTTTATTTTCTGGTTATCCATGTCAGCAAGTAACTCGGAAGGATCGACATTCCTAGAATCAATTAGAGCCATAATTTTTTCTTGAGCAGCCTCTGAATCAATCTCACTATGAGCATGAGCAAAAATATCCTCAAGCTCAGCTTGCCTTTTTAAAGCTATTTCCTTCATCCTGCTAGCTTTCAGTTGATCAAGCCTTTCAACTTCCACCTCAGCCTTGACAACAAAAAACAAGTCAATAATTAAATATCTGGTATTCGATACAAATTCAAGGACCTTGTGCAACCTCTCACTCTGCCACCAGATCAAATAATCAACCAAAATTCATTGACTCAGTGGGTATGAAAGTTAGTCAAGTTGATATTAACCGAACAATATGAAATAAATTACCTTTTCCTTTTGCAGTTCTTGGAGCCGAGACTGAAACTCATCCAATGCATATAGTAAGGAATACTTTCATAGTGTGTTACATGATCTTGTGCCAGCACATTTGCATAATGTAGTGCCAACCATGTTTCATAATGTGGCATCAACAAAGTTTCATAATGTAGCTTCTACACAGGTTCATGACTCTAGGCTTCCGCATTAGCTTGAACTTTATTTTGTGGATGCTGGTTATAGCAGCATGGATTAGTTCTTTTCTTTTTGTTATTATTATTTTTTTTTTTTTTTTGCTTTTGCCTTTGTAAATTACAAGCAATAGTTAACAAAGGAACTATTCTTATCCAATTTATTTTTGCTTTCTTATGTTTCTCATATTTTTGGCCTTGAATTTCCATTGATTTGAGTAGGGTTGATCTGGGAAATGGTGGGGCTAGATGAAATATTATACCACGACATACTTGAAAGCTTTTATGATTTTGTTGAGGGGTGTGAATATTCCCAAATGACATGTTGAAAAATAGATTTTACACAATTGTATGTTTCTGTCCCAACTTGCTGACCCACATGTAGAGACGGTTGGCACAAGGATGATCATCACTGATTTACCATTTTCTTAGTGGATGCAATTGGGTGACTTGTTTGTACTTGAATGGCAATGATCCTTGTAACCAGCTTTTCCCTGCAGGTCTTTAACACTTGGAATTTAATTGAAGTTGTCGATGTAGTCTGATTCGTGTTACCTGGTCTCCTGGTAAGGCTTCAACTAAAGCTTTTCACTACCTCTTAGATTGCTTTCCTAGGATAACTTTATATTAAGAGTCATTAGCTCAGTTTTACAGTGCAAGAGGTTTTGGTCCTGCACTTTCTTCGCCTTTGATGTTTGAATTGATTCTCCACTGTCCCATCTGGGTTAGATAGTGTTTTATGTCAGTGATTACTATTAATCACAATATCTTGACTATTGATGTCCTATTTAGTTTGGTTTTTTAGGACAATTTGCTATTCATCTGGGTTAGACTTAGATATGCCCTGTTTGTTTAAAAAAAAAAAATTGCAGCTTATTTAGCTTAAAAGAATGTGCTTAAACAGTGCACTTCTAAAACAGGGGGATTAGTTCTTCTTTTTGGGTTTTCAACTTTAAAAACTCAAATAGTCTCTATTTTTTTTAAGCTGGATTTTAGATGCTTTTTCAATATTGTGTTTTTTTATTTTATTTAATTGGAAACAAATGGAGCCTACTGTTGTTCGATTGTTATTGAAAACCCCTTCTGGCTGATTCAATTGTTAATTCTCTGATTGCTCAACCCTGTTTGATCTCTTGCTATTGTTGTTGTTGTTGTTGTTGTTGTGTCTTCTTTTTTAGAAAGTAATTTGTAGACATTGTATTGATCAAATTCAAATTGAAGCAAATGAACCTAGTAGTTTCATTGGAGTTGCTTTTTATTTTTGGGCATTGAATTTATTTATTTATTTATTATTTGCAGTATGCCAATTAATCAAATATGTCCTCAGTTGATTCTAATCCCTTCTGTTGTTGGGTAGCCCAACTTGAATAATTCAGTTGATACGACCAATCTAACCATTTGTTGTTGTTCTCTCTTAAAGGCTGATCTATCTTAATATGCAAATATTATCTTCAACTTCATTGTAATCTTTATTTTTTGATATGTAAACCACATACTTACCAAAAAAATAAAACTTGTCGAGAATTACTTGTAGTCTAAATTTTCTTTATAGATTTTGAAATTGAAAATGATACTTATGCTCATTCAATCATTTTTATTGTAGGAAATAAGACAATATGAAAGCATCAAACAATGGACGTCATTTTTCGATTTGAACATTTTTTTATGGAGGTCTTTATAAAATGGCATCATAAGTAATATTTTTGAGTATTATTGTCATGTGACAAGTTTATATGTACCTTTTAGATTATGGTGTGCGCTATTAGTTTGCTAGAAATATTGGATCTATTTTGTATTACAGGCTTATGTAATGAACCTTTTAATTAAGGTGTTTTGGATACTTTGGGATTATGAAAATGCAGACTCTTTTACCTTTTACAATTATTGAGTATTAAGCCATTAGAATAAAATAGTGTTTTTATAGATATATAATGTGAGCAGGGATAAGTGCGAGACAACCATTAATGGTTAGCAAATCATTAAAAATTTCAAGCTATATATTATTGGTAATTGAATAGTAAACATAGCTTATAACCGCGGTTAATAACCGTCGCTGGAAAAAAAATACAAAGAATTTTATGGCTATAGCGACAGTGTAAAACTAACGAAAAAGAATTAAAATATAGCAGCGGTTCACAAAATGTCGCAAAAAGTGAAGGATATAGTAGCAGTTGACCCGTCACTATAAAGTTAGCAAATAATGGGTCAATTTAAGATATAGCGACATTTATAACTGTCACTACATCAACCGTCGCAATAAAAATAACTATACCAGCGTTTGAGGAAAACATCACTTTAAAGATATGCTGATGGGGCTATTGTGGCGGTTTGGCTGTCGCTATTTCAACCGCAGGTAAAGGTTTTTTAGTTTTTAGCGATGCTTTTTTCTGCTTTTATCGATAGTTTTGGCCGCTGCTAAAAGTGAAATTTTTTGTAGTGTGTGCATCCTACACAATTTCCATACTATTGCCCCACATTGTACTATTTCCATACTGCTATTTCCATACTATATTGTTTCCATACTGCACTATTTCCGTACTGCTAAGACCTTTGACGTGTGACACCTGCTTCCACAGGTTGACTGGTGCCCCTAGGCGGGCATCCCTCAGGCCGCGAGGACGACCTATGTCTCTACGTGGCATGCCCTATTATGAGGATTTTGGTCGAGGGTCCCTTTGGCTGAGCTTATTACCTGGGGAAAAGGTTCATCCGCCAGACACAAGGCGTAGTAGATCCTGAGATTCCATATCCTCCTCCTCCCAGCATGAGGGTAGTCGTTGATCTTTACGACAGACCCCAGGTTGACTTCTTTATGTTGAGGGAGGACGATGGCCAGTATCACAAGCCCGGTCACTTCGCTGCCTTCTTACATACTTAGCTGATGGTGCCTCTTACCCTGGGCGTGGCTCGTGCTGTTCCTGAGGTTGCTGCTGCTGCTGCCATTGCCACTGGGGGAGTTCCCGCTGCAACTCCCGTCCCTTGCCTTCCGGTGATTCTGTCCGAGGTTGTATACATGCGACCGGACGGGGTAATTGAGCAAATCCCTCTTGGGCATATCGAGGAGAGGAACCATAGGCTGGTGCTTGCTCCCAACATTGAGCAGGTACACACTTCTTTATATCTTTGTCCACTATACTTTCTCAGTTCTTTTCTGTATTTTGTGATTTCTGTCCACTGTGCTCTGTTATGTGGTTCTCAATTTCAATGCTCTCCCTCTTGCAGGTACCTGTGGCATATGCTAGCGACCTTTTCTGGACGATTGATCGACTACTTCTCATGGTACGCAGGAGGCAGACTGTTCTAGCTACCCATGGGATCGAGGTACACTTTGCCCTTAGCTTACGATCATTACAATCTTGCTCACAACTCTGTTGGTCTCTACTGATATCTGTACTCTCGCTTTTTCTTTTTGTTTTCAGCCTTAGCCAGCGCTAGTTGCACCTGCAGGACCTCCTCTAGCTAGGAGACAGAGACAGAGCCTAGTGATGGGCAAGGGAGGAGCTGACCGAGGGAGAGACAGGGTGAGACAGTACTCACCTCCTGAGGAGTCTTTCGAGGAGTACATAATCTCCGAGGATGAGGGGGAGGCAGTCGACATACAGTCTAATAGTCCTAGCAATGACAGTGATGCACCTCCTCTGTAGCCGAGAAGGAAGAGAGCGATGATGGGTTAATGATTTTTACTTTTTCTTTTGCTTTGTAGTTAGGAACTATAGCTTTGGATAGACCAATGTATTTTGTTTTTGAAGACTTTTCTTTTGTTTTTGGTCTTTGTAAATAATGATTGGGGTTGGACCTGCCAGTTTTATAAGAAGACAAATTTTTGCAGTGATCTTCTCGCATGATATGTGATGAATGGCATAACCTTTGCATGGTAACTTTGCACAA